TCACTCTATCACTTTGAAGGTAGGTGTTCCTGTGATGTTGTTAAGAAATATAGATCAATCGTCGGGATTGTGTAATGGTACAAGATTGATCATCACAAGACTTGGAAATCGGGTAATTGAAGCCAAAGTATTATCAGGAAAAATGGCTGGAGACAAAGTTTTTATACCAAGAATGACACTTACTCCATCTGATGCAAGAATTCCTTTTAAGTTCCAAAGAAGGCAATTTCCAGTCATTCTATCTTTTGCCATGACCATCAATAAAAGTCAAGGTCAATCATTATGTAATGTGGGATTATTTTTGAAGAAGCCAGTGTTTACTCATGGACAACTATACGTTGCACTTTCAAGAGTAACAAGTAGAAAAGGGTTGAAGATCTTATGTTATGATGAAGATGGGAAAGTAACAAATGAAGCTACAAATGTAGTGTATAAAGAAGTTTTCCGAAATTTAGAGGATAGAAGTTTTGAATGAGTAAGTATCAAATGAGTAGCAACAATGACAAGTTCAGTGTACATACTCAGTATATAGTTGCTCATGCTACAGAGAAAGATAAAGTTGAATGAGGTAAACATTCTTCCAAATTTACTTTACATTGATATATCATGTTGCAGCTTAGTCACATGTACTTTATTTGTTAAATTGTCTATCTATATTTGCAGTCAATCAATTCAATTAAATTGTGGACTTGAAAGAATATGGATTACCAACCATCATTTCCATTCATTGACCGCTACTAGGTATGAAATATTACTTAGAAAGAATCTTATTAGAAAAATATATAATAGGAGTAATACTATCGCTTATCAATCACAGCTCCAAGCTCCTGGAGAACTAAATATTTTTCAATCTGGCATCAAATGTGGCACTGGTTATTTTTTGAAATCCAGTTCCAAGCATAATCGCTTCTATATCCATGTTAGTCACAATAGTTTTCAAGAATATTGAGAATTAATTATATTCTAAGTTTCTCGAGAAACATATGTTTGTTAAATGTTAAATATTTAATTGTGCATTTTTTTAACGCTGGAGATCTAATAAAAGATCATGAATGCTGGACAAGGACAGATAACATGAAAACACCACAAATTGTACTAATGATAGATCAAAATAAAAGATCATGAATGCTGGACAAGGCATGTTTGCCTCAGTTCGTTAGTATATTTATCAATATGATGGTAATATGACTGCTAGCAATTCATGAAACCTATGACTATTTCTCAGGTCCTTTTTAATTTGTGGAGTAATCTCTTGAATGTTGCTTAACTTTAGTGCACTGATATTTTTAGATTGTTTTAGATATCTGTTTGATAGAAAAACTTATCATCATTGTGAGCACGTGATTTTTATTTCACGCGATAATCGCTCCAAAAGAAATAAAAAAAAATAATGACAATTGGTCCTGCTGTATAATTTTCGGATTTTTACATGGCACTTTGTTAATTATTTATGATTTTTGCCCATTTTATTTTATTAAAAAAAAATAAAAAAAAAATGTGTAGTGTCATGCGTGATTTGAACCGTAATCCGGTTGTTAAATAGAAAATCATAAAATACGCATTTTTGTCCTGATTTGTTGCCTTGTTTAATTTTACCTACTTTTAACATTTTTTGTTTATATATGCGTGTAATAAATACATTAAGTGCTAATTAATGGTGTTTAGTTTTTATTTAATTAGTTTGTGTGTTTAAGAAAATTAGAAATAAAAAAAGGGGGGGTGAGAGTTGTTTTAATTTTGGGCCGAGTCCCATTTCAAAATCTGAGACCCAAACAAACAACCCAACCCAAAACCAGAATTACCCGGTCCAGTCCGTGTTCAGCCCCTAACTATCCAAACGACACCGTTTTAATCTGGTCTGATCTGGTCCGTTGATCTCAGATTGATCAACGGCCAAGATCACATTTTCCCATACCCACGAACAAACCCGACCCGTTCCACCCGGACCAACCCAAACCCTTTACCCTTGAAACGACATTGTTTCCTTCGAGCTGAAGGATCCTGGCCCTTCATCGCATCTCATCCAATGGCCAGGATCCACCCACCCACTAACTATATAAGTCTGTAACCTTACCCTGCCCCCTATCCAAT